CGCCGATCTGAGCCTTGCGCAGGCATATTATTTCCGCACTGGACAACCCGACAGGATGCCCGAATGGCGCACCGAATGGCTCTCGACTGTCTTTGTACCCGAACACTCGCCGTACGACACGCAGCAGAAATGGGCGGACAGGCTCGTTACACCCATGTTGGTTGTAGCGTGGTTTCTATGAAGGTGCATGCTTTTAAAGCCATATAATATTATAATACATTGATTATTTTCCACAGAGCACATCCCGTAGGCTTTGGTCTTGGCTTGCTGCAACCGATGGACTGCTGTACAAGCGGCCCCCTGCCTTCGCGACACGGACTCCTCGGACGGTGAGTGAGAGAGACTTCTAGATTTTAATAGTTTTTGTTTCTGATAATTGAATTGTTCCCTAGCAGGAAGGACGACGGCTGGCAGATACTCGTCGAACACATGCAGGGCGATAAAATGTTGGAGTGTGGCACTCAGCTATGACATCATCGCACTCAGTCATTCAAGCATTCCAGTACTTGCACTTGTGTGTGTGAGTGGTTAAACACGCAGCACCCACTGCCGGTCCAGGCTCTGCTTCAAGCAGATACTCGGGGCGGCCCAGCGCAGGACAGACAACGCCCTCTCCGCCGGACTCCATTCCCCGCTGTTCGGTTCCCGACACCCGCAATCGTGGATGGTCGAGATGCTGAACCGCGACTGGGAGGCCTACCCGGTGGCCGTCCCCGTTCCCTGGCAGGGCCACATGTACTACGCGGTGTCGTCGCACAACGCGTCGGACTTGTACTTCTGCATCACGAAGGGCCCCGACGGACGTGCAACAGCAGAACCAGTAAGATTTTTGTTTGTAAACCTTGTAGTATAACTGAAATACTTACCAAGTCGACAAATTTTCGGACATCGCTGGTTCAGGTGACACGATCGACTTTCAGTGCATCGGACTGTTTCTAAAGAAACTCGAACTTGGACCGGGCTCGTGGAACTAGCCGCAGTTCGTTCAAGCACGACGTACCCGCCGGCCAGTCTCCATTTGGAGTTCTGGAGCAGTTCGCTCTCGCCGGCCAGTCTCGAAAGTGACACGTTTTCTGCACTCGGAGTTCAGATCAGTTCGCTCTCGCCGTTCAAAAAGAATTGTCCTGGCACACTTTACATTTGCCGGATGTTAGTTCCTATCGCACTGTTTGCTGACTTAAACTTTTGCGCTTCAGGTTGCTGACATGGACTGGCACCTCTTTGGCGGGGTCCTCGGAGTTCTGGTGCTGCACAGTTTGTGACGATTTGCATCGGCACAGTTGCTGTGTTCTTTCCTGTCACACTCGGAAGCGACAAGTGCTTGAACCACCCGCAGTCACCAGTCACTCGTACTAGGTTTGTCATGTGCTTCATGCATTGCAATTGAGGTCGGTCACTCCTCGTTCGGTTCGCAGGGCACAGCCACACGGCAGGACGAGGACTAAGTCAGGGGTCATGCTTTCGGATTGTGACAAGGCATTCCGCGGACTCTGAGGTAAGTTAGGATCCACCTGCAGCAGACATGGAGCAATTGCCGTAGACATAAAGAGTTAAAGGCCTTTGAGCAATTGGAGCCCGGTTTGTTGCCTGGGTTGCCATTTCAGCATTTCAAGCATCGAGTGCATAGAATCGAGGGTGAGCGGTAAATTTTAGTGTTGGGCGTTACACATTAGATTTGTTGTTTGTGGCTGTGAATCAGTAAGGTTAGTTCTGGCCTATTCATTGCGGGTGGTGTCTCCTTAACTAGATCTACTTACAGTGCATGGTATAAACCGATTTCACTTCTGGAAGTTCACCATACTTGTCCACAGAGGGGCTTCGGGTGTGGCTTGATTCAGGAAAATAATCATGAGGTGTACAACTCAGTAGTACGACTACTACCACGACTAGTACAAGTACTACTAGCATTGGTACTGTACTACTACTACTACTACTACTACTACTAGTAGTACTAGTACGACCACTACCACTACTACTACTACTACTACTACTACTACTACTACTACTACTACTACTACTACTACTACTACTACTACTACTACTACTATTCCTCCTACTACTACTACTACTACTACTACTACTACTACTACTACTACTACTACTACTACTACTACTACTACTACTATCTACTACCACTACTACTATTTACTACTACTACTACTACTACTACTACTGCTACTACTACTACTGCTATTACTACTACTACTACTACTACTACTACTACTACTACTACTACTACTACTACTACTACTACTACTACTACTACTACTACTACTACTAGCTAGCCAGCCAGCTAGCTAGCTAGCTAGCTAGCTAGTACTACTATTACTTCTGCTAGCACTACTACGACTACTACTGCTACTTCTACTACTACTACTACTACTACTACTACTACTACTACTACTACTACTACTACTACTAGCTAACCAGTACTACTGCTACTACTACTACTACTATTTCGACTAGTACTACTACTACTACTACTACTACTACTACTACTACGACTAGTACTAGTACTAGTACTACTACTACGACTACTACTACTACTACTACTACTACTACTACTACTACTACTACTACTACTACTAGTACACTACTACTACTACTAGTACTACTACTACTACTACTACTAATACTTCTACTTCAACTAATAGGGACTGCAATTTCGGCCTACTGGTTTTTCCTTTCTTTAATGAGTAGTGGTACTGCTGCTAGTACTACTCTTCGCAATCTGGATTAGTGTTGCTACGAGTAATTACTAGACCAGTAGTCAACCAGCTGGAGGAAGGCGCTCTTGCAATCGCTGTTGTCCTGTTCATATGGAGGACACGGACTCCATTGGCCGGCATCGCTGCCGCTGAGCCTTCTCGTTTCAGGCACTGTGCTCTCGTGCGGTCTACGCTTTGTGTCTTGCTTGCCATGTTCGTCCAGTCACAATGCACTGTGAGACCACCCAGCAGCAGGGCTTGATTGATTGTTTGGTTTTCCGAAGCCGTCCTGCCTGTGCGTTGAGACTTCGTGCAGTCTTATCATCCTTCCCCGTCCTTCTTCCTCGACGGACCTTGCCCAGCATGCCTCGTGATGCCGGCCCCCGCAAGCCCACCCTCAAGCAGCTGGCGAAGCAGAAAGCGAAGGACATCAAGACCCGGGAGCGCAACGAGGCGACGTTCGCATCCGCCGTTCAGCACTCCAAAAGCACCATACTCGACGTGGACATGCGGTTCATTCAAGACACGCTGACCCAGAACCCGACTTGGATTTCTCCACTCGCTGGTCTGATCCGCTCGGGCTCGTTGAATGGTCTTCTGAAGGACGTTGCCAAGAAGGAGGAGACCGGTGGACTGAGATGGAAGGGCAAGTGCACCAAATGGGGCAGTTTGCCGCTTGAGATGGCGAGCTTAATGCTCAAGCATTGCGGTGTGGAGCTCGCGGAGGACGTACAGAAGGACGAACCCGTCGTACGGACCCTCTTCGAGATCCAGTTCTGGGCAGCCAAGTCGGCGTCCTTGCCATCTCGTGCGGACATTCGCTATCAGTCCACGTTGGTCAAGTTAGCGAGGGCCCGCATGGAGGACGTTGGTCGCAACTACATAGCTGCGGTGAACTCGGCGGAGGCTATCAGTGTTGACCGGGACAGGTACAACATCTGGTCACTTAGAACAACACGTTGTACTGCCACGTCTTTGCCACACAAGATGGACACCCTCGCCGTTCCCGCTCGGAGTTCGTACCCAACGAGTCGTACCTCAGCCACGAGCTTCCTACTCTCCCGGACAACAAGACGTGGCAATTGGACGACCCTTTTGCGGTGGACTGTGTCATTTCAGATGGACAGCATAACTCGTTGTTCAGTTTTGAATGCGCGAGTTTCTTTCCTACTTTGCCGGACATGAAGGCCAAGTGGACCTTCGACTTGTCGTCGGACGCAGACACCACGGCTGGCCTCGGCGACAATGTGCCGCAGGGCACCCCGTCGGTCCGGAGTGCATAATGCACTCTCTCCTGGTAGTTCAGTGTGTCTTGAGTTTGGGGTTGACTTTACTCGTTGTTCTGTCCAGTTTGTTCACTCGAAAAGCACAATGTCGTTCGCCTCGCCGTTCGACCCATTGTGTCTGAGTGAGTGGACAGGCACGAGTTTCACTGGGGCCGTGAAGCCGGCAACTTGCAAGCTGCATAAAAGAATACGTGCGATGAATGGCTGACTGCAATAATGACTTCCTTGCGGTGCCTTGCAGTATGTGCTACATACATGTTGCAGAAGAACACAGACCCATGACACGTGGTGTGAGCACTGCCTTGCGACATCAGCGATTCGTTGCCGCTGTCTTTGGGCTTCCAGAATAAAAGCTGCATGCCTGCAGAGCCTCCCTTTCTCTTGGTTTGGCAGATGTCACATATACTTCCTGGGACATAGCCTATAAAGTTTTGCTACATTCGTTCACCAGAAACAGACTGTAGAATTGATCCACTCGCTATCAGATGCTGGAGCCCGCTTCTGCCGATGGACCCTCTTCTTCAGGACCTCCAGCTTTTTTCAGCTCTGCGTCGGACAAGCGTCGGACAGTTGCATTTTGCATTCCCTGCGGGACACACGGAAGCCTCAAGGGCGAGAGCTACAAGTTCAAAGAGCCGCAGACCAAGGTAACGGATGGACATCGTTTTTGGCACATGCGTTGGTTTGTGGACTTCCTCGGAGGACACGAGTCTCGAAATTTCCTCGCAGGCAGTGTGTCGACGTTCAGGAACAAGCTCTTCACGATTGCATGGCCCTGCTGGACAGACACGGAGGACGCTCTGAAAAAAGAGATCGAGTCGCACTTTCTCCAGAGTTCGTTCTCCCTCCTCAAGCAGCAGGAGCACGCTGCAAACGCCGAGAAGAAGGGCACCAAACGAAAGGCATCCTCGCAGCAGATGCAGGACGACATGGAGGACGACAACGAGCAAGCGGACAATGAGGAGCACACGGGTGACCAGATGGAAGAGGTAGCAGCTGGACGAAGCACACGTTGTACAGAGTTTGCCACGTCGAGCTTTGCAACGATTGTTCTTTTGCATCAATGGCACCAGGGTATGCGCAAAGATGCCAAATGGAAGAAGCCGGCAGAGGAGGTATCCAAGCTGGCCGGGGAGTTGCTTCAAGGCCTCGCTTCCTTGTTCCTGCAGACCCCGCAGGACTTCTCATTCACGTGGGACGGAAACACTCTGGTGCTGCCGTTCAAAGGAGGTTCGCTGGACGTGGACGAGGTTGTACTGCAAAACAGTTTACTTGCTAAAGTACTACACCGCGATCGTTCCCGATTCATGGACGTGCTGCAGGATGTGAATGTGGACTGCACCCGTCGGACAATTGGAGACACTCGCAAGTCATCTAGTTTGAGGACGAAGTACTACTTGTTGGCGGCTTTGGCACGTGCCATGGATTCGTCGGACGACACGCATTCCTGCTGGACATCTTTGAATGTGAAGCAAGTGATGCAGCTTAGGAGAGAGGTTTCGATTCGAGGGTTTGGAGGGTTTGAAGGGTTTGGAGGGTTCCGGGGTTTTAAGATGTAGGGTTGTGTCTTGAAAGCCCGAAAATTGATATTCCCCCTGTTGTTTCAGGAGCACCTCCGGATATCGTCGGTCGTCCACGAGTTTTCGACAAGAGGTTGCGAGTTCATCGAATGCCACACGCAGGACACTTACCTCCACATTGCAAGGACATGCGTTCACCGTGCAGGACAGCAGCGAACAGCAGGACGAACAAAAGATCAAGAAGCACGCTTCTATGGACGCACACAGGCTAGCACGCATGGAGCGATACGCCTATGTCACGCAGGGCAAGTCAGATTTCCTCTCGACGGACATTTTGTGCGTGGTGGCAGATGCAGTGCACGTGGGAAGTGACGATTGGCTGAACATCATGGTGTACAACCACACGACGGACAAAGTTTGGGTCTGCCCGCCGCAGGCGCTTTTTTTTTGTTAAGCAACACATATTTCTGAGGCGTTTTAGGCAAGAGGCGAGGTACGTCAGAGCCTTGCTTAAGTTGACCTTTTTGGGTGCCGTTTTCGTAGCTTCTGGGTCCGACCAAAATCGTTTTTCCGAGGGGAGGTACACGTATCCCCGCTCAGGCTCGGTTTGGGGCGGAGTCTTTCTATTGTATTTTATATAAAGATAGGTACACGTATCCCCGCTGACCCCTGGGTTTCGGGATTGGCCTGATAAAGGCTCCCGGCCGCCCTTCTACTGATGAGTAGGTACGCACAGCCTTGCTTAAGTTGACCGGGTCCCGGGTGGAGGCCGAGGAACGCATTTCGGCCACATTTTGGCTGCATTTCGGCCCCCAAAAAGGTACGCCAGATCCCCGCTTAAGTTGACCGGCCGGTCCCCAAAAAAAGGGCCCCTGGGTGATTATATGGTAACAACCTCTGTCGTTTGTTTTGCATGCTGTTGCTGACAAGCTCTTCCTCTAAGCTTTGCTTCACATTTTTCTCTGTGTAGTCAGACCACGCAGCAGGTCCAGAAATCGTCCGTCTTGTCGGCTGAGCAGTGGAAAGCTATGTGGAACAAGGCTTCCAAGAAGTTCCTCGGGATCGAGAAACCCGTTGGACCTGGTCATGCGGAGGACCGGCTGGCCACACTGTCTTGGATGCAGGACATAAACCACGGCTTGCGACCCATTGGCTGGACTTTTGGCTGCTGCCAGAGCACGCCGGCCGGCCCCGCGGAGGACGACACGAAGGCTAAACGTGCACCGATCATGATTTTGTGCACCGACCAAGAAGCAACACAGCTGGCGGCTGTCTCCTTCTTGAGGAACAAAAAGAGCCTCTGGATCGAACACGTCTCGGACCCCGCCCACAGGTCGCACAACGACGTGGCTTTGGCCTTGTCGGCCGCTGGACTCCTGAAGTTCTGCACGTGCATCTCGCTGTACAACATCAGGTATGGACCCTGGCAGAAGGGCTCGTGGGCGTTGAAGATCCAGCAAGCCGCAAATCGCATGAAGGACAACATGGACCCCTCGGACCCGATATTGCTCCTTTTCTTCCCGGACATTCTGCTGGACGCCGGCCTCTCCCCCCTGGACGACAACACGGAGGAGAAACGCAGGTCGTTTTTGCAGACATTACCCGACATGGACTGCATCCGCATCAAGGGCACGAAGGCCAGCAAGAGTCGGTTCAATTCCCTGACGACGGCCCACAGCGCGCTGGACAAAGAGTGGTCGGTCTTGGCTTTAGTTCTCACGGTGGTCTGCTTGGAGCACAACTGGGCAGTTTCCACTAAGGACCTCTTCTCGCAGGACAGCAACCAGGCCCGTGCCTCGGTTCCATATGGTGGAAGCAAGTCTTCTGCCATACAGGAGGCCAAGCAAGGCATGGACCAGGAGCGGAAGGGCAGCGCGAACAGTCTACACTTAATGACGAAGTTCGTGATCTCGCAGGACAACAAGACGACAGCCAGGATGATGTTCCAGGTCTTGCAACCCGAAGAGCTTCGTTGTTCGCTCATGCTCAAGCAGCTGCGTTCCAAAGGCATGACGAAGGACTACTACTCTGGCTGGGCACACTGGTCTTGGATGAGCACTGCAAAGGACCACGTCAGGACTTTGTCGAATTTGGAAGGTTTATCTCGTGTCGGCCTCGACCTGACACTGGCACGCGCACAACCCCCGGAGGAGACAGAGCTTGTCTGGCAGGACTCGCTCGCAGGCCAAATGACGCAGTTGACACTACAGATCCTGCGGCTGCGGGCCGGGGCACAGCTGTACCATACTGGAGGTTTCGGTGCGACCGCAGGACTAGTCCATGCTGAAGAGCAGTTCCGTCGGGCAAGCTTGGATTTTTTCAAAGAGATGCAGTCTTGTATCCAGGACACGCACAGTGGTGGTTCTCGTATGGCAAAAAAATTGCTCGAAGGTCATTTCTCCCAAGGGCCGATTAGTCGGTACATCCTCGCCGATCTTTGCACTACCCGGTTTCAGAGCCTTACGGAGGACGTTGCACACGTATTGACCAGCATTTGGTCGGGCCTCTTGAACACGAAGATCATCGAAGACTGTAATAAAGTCCAGCGCGAGGCCGAGCAACGACATTCGTCTTCGAAGGACTTGGGTCGTTTGGACGGATGGAAGGCTGTGACCCAACAGGCCGTGGTCAAGATGTACGAGAGGGTGGAGGCACTGTCAACGGAGCTCTACCACACGCCGGCAGCGTTTGACGTGGCCAAACTTTTCTGCAAAGACACCGAGAAGAAGAAGATTCAAGCAGTTCGTCGTCGTTCCGATTCGTCGGTCAGCACGCAGGTCAGTGCCTCGGAGGTGCAGGAAGCACAGCTTCTTGCAGACGTGACGAAGACGAGGGACTGGGTCTCCCACAACCACGCCGAGGAACAGGAGGTTTTGGCTGCCTTCAGTTTACTGATGAAGGCGTGGAGGGCCAAGCGATGGTCGCTTTGTGAAGAAGGTTGGTGCTCTGGACTTTTGCCCGAAGGACATGTTGTACTGGCAGGTGCAGACCCGTTGTTCATCGTTCGGACATACCGTTTGGCTGCACTCGCATGGCCCGGCAAGATCGTTAAGGACAAGGACCATGAGTTTTTCGAATTCAACATGGGCGTTCGGTCTCTCTTTTGGATGCACAGCACATCTTTGGACTTGGAAGTGTTGCGGCTGCGAGTTGTTTCACCTCTGCGTGCCTCGGCTGCAGTACAGTTGAACATTGTCAGCCCGACACGGACATTCTCTACATATATATTCGTCCTATAATGAGTGACGATGATTGATTGACACGGAAGGCTTCTCCGGTTCAGATTGTAAGTTTCGGCCCGGGGGGGGGGTAGCACTGAAGCTATTTTTTATGGGTTTCTGAACAACTCAGGCGATTCGACAGTCAAGGATTCGAAGTTTCACAGAGTTAGGTTGAGTAGCCCAGGATGGCACGTGCGTCGAGGTTTTGGGTATTGACGAAAGGAGGGTGTGGTTGTGTGTACTGCTACCACTTTTTTGGCCATACTACTAGTGCTAGTACTAGTGCTAGCAGTAGTAGTAGTAGTAGTAGTAGTAGTAGTAGTAGTACTAGTAGTACTAGTACTAGTAGTAGTAATACTACTACTACTAGGACTGTTGCTGAGATTCCTTCTACTACTGTAAACTACTGCGATTGCTTGTAGTAGTAGTACTACTACTACAAGTACTACTAGTAGTAGTAGTAGTAGTAGTACTACTACTACTACTACTACTACTACTACTAGTACCAGTACTACTACTCCTACTACTAGTATTACTACAACTTCTTCTACTACTACTACAACTACTACTGCTACTACTGCAACTACTAGTAGTAGTAGTACTACTACTAGTAGTAGTACTACTACTACTACTAGTACTACTATTACTATCACTACTACTACTACTACTACTGCTACTACTACTACTACTACTACTACTACTACTACTACTACTACTACTACTACTACTACTACTACTACTACTACTACTACTACTACTACTACCCTTTTCGAGTCTTTTTACCAGTCTTCCTAGTGATATCACCGCTTTTTACTGACCAGGCGCAAAACTTAACGATTGCGATCATTTTTTACTAAGAGTGTTGCTGCCGCTACTGCTACTGCTGAGGTCGTTCCACGCAGGGCAGCCACCTCAACAACGGCATCGTGTTTTTGGTGGACAAGAAGATGGGCACGTTGGACTTTCACGCCGAGCAGGGCTTCGCTGCCTGTTCTGAGGCTTTGTTGCGCAGGTTGTGCCAGCACATGGGTTGGACCGCCACCCAACCCAAATCAGGTGTGGACGCAGGACATCAGCTGGCTGTTGCCGCCATGCTCAACATGGACAACTCGTTGGTCGAAGAGGACGTGGTTCAACGAATCCTGGCAAGGCATCAGACTGACAAGTGGATGCCGGAGGTCGACGACAAGGACTTGGAAGCCGTCGTTCGGGACACGCTGCTCATTGGCGAGCAGGACAAGGCCCTCAAGGAGCTCAGTGCCCGTCGGTCCACGGTTTCGGCCAAAAGTCTACGACCCAAGGTATGCACGATGTACAAGAACGCCGTCTCGGACCTGGACAAGGACTTTTGGAAGGCCGGACAGGACACACGCCGACGCAAGACTCAGAAGGCCGAGAAGGACAGCAAAAAGCTAAAGCAGCAGTACGACCGGGTGTACGCAAAGCTGAATGCCACGACGGACGAGCTTGTGAAGAGCATGGTTCCTGATACTGTACAGGTTTGGACGGACCCAAAGAATGGTCGTTGGAAGGTGTCGTACAAGACAGCTGTAGTCAGCATTACACGTAGTATTTCATGGACACAAGTAGGTGAAGCTGCCGCCGGTCGAGCCTGTGTAACACAAGGTTGGTCATGGGTGGAGCACCACGAAGGACGTGACCCACCCGAAAACTTGCAGGAGCGATTGACAAGGTTCGACTCCTGAGTTCACTCGGACTTGACATGCCCGTGATTGGACTTTTTCTCCTCGTAGCACATCGTCGTTCAGCATCGATGCACACATTCGTCGGGCCCAAAAGAGGATTATTCCGCTTTGCACGCGTGTTTGATCCGTGCAATTGATGCTTCTAGTCAGACTTCTGTAATGCACTGCTACGTGTGTGAGACAGTGGCGGTGATGTGGGTTCAAGTTCAGGAGCATGTCGTCCATGCATTGAGCACGTATTTTAAGTAGGCCAGACATGTACTGATATGGCGAGCCAACGCGCCCTCACTCACCTTCTGTGTAACTTTCCCCACGGACACACAAGATAATGAGTAGTCATGTAGCGCAACTGGAAATTGTACCAGAAATGTTTGTACTTGAAACCTAGGTTGTTATTCTCGGTGGGAGTCCATGAGAATTCAGTTTTGTTGAAATAAATGGAACGGAAAGAGTCTCTGTACATGTCTCGACTCGTGGTTCCATCCTCGAAGTATTACTCGTGCCATGGTGGCCCGGCCGAAGTTACAGGAGGTGGGACTGTCACGACGACCCTCGGCATACGCGCTGTTCATGCAGGACATGTGCAAGGACTCTGTGGACCCCAAATCTCGTCGTCGACTGTCCCGGAAAACATCACTTCGCGGTTCAAAACATTATCTGCGCAAGTGGCTTCTTGGCTGCAAAATCAATATAGATACTGACACATGTGCCCCTTGCCTAGAACCCCAAGTCATCTGAAGCCACGGGAAGTAAAATCTTGGCAATTCTGGTCAGGAACCCGAATATGCCATCTTAGCTACGTACCAAAGTTATTTACTTCAGACATAATTAATAAGATGTAGCTAAAAGTCCTAATACAAGTCATGTTACTTTTTACTCGGGGATTACCTTTTCACCCAATCGTCCAGTAAAATTCCTCTGTTCCCCGAGGCACAACCGAAAGGACCTCCGTGACGAGTACACACGCAAGGCCAGGCAGGGCTACCAGGAGAATCGGGTCCAACGCGAAGAATTTCGACAGGCCAAACACACGGAAGTTCCCCCCGCTTCGTTCATGGACAGAGAACTGCCGGACGTCGCAGAGTCGCAGGACTTCGACGGTCGTGGCATTTTTCGCTACACGGCCGAGGACCCACTGGTGCAGGAGAAACATATGGGTCGCGGCACGTACGGGGAGATTTTCGCTTGCACGTACCAGGGCCTGAAGTTAGCCTTGAAAGTGGCCGTTCGCACGCCGGACAGGGAGACTGCACTGTTGGACGTGCACCAAGACGGTCTCGAAAAGACGTGGGACTTGACCCGTGAGTTCACTCTTTTGAGCCAGATAGGACCTCATCCGAATGTTCTGCGACTCTATGCCTTGCTGACATCCTCGACTGGGCACACGGGAATTCTAATGGAGCGGGCTTCCTGCGACCTCTTGAAGGCCACACGGGACTTGAAGACGGACGACCTTCAGGACGGAGTTCCCTGGAGCACACGACGAGCCCAAGTAACGACGTACTTTCGGCAGACACTCGCAGCTCTTACATTTGTGCACAGCAAAAACATCGTACATTTGGACGTGAAAACGAACAACTTCCTCGTGTTTCTCCTCGGCGAGCGGGTGGTGCTGTCCGACTTTGGTTTTTGCCGAGCTTTGCCACTCAATGGAAAAGCAAAAGTCAGAGCTGACGAAGTCTACACGACGTACTACCGGCCGATCGAGTGCCTTTACTCCGGGGACGGCAAGGCCTGGACCATGAATCCTAGTCGAAGAAAGTTGAAAGTAGTAAGCCCGGTGCGTATGTTCATTCTAGTAACACTTTATGATTTTGCGGATCTGAACTGCAGGACCAGATCAACCTCAGGCATTCCCGGATCCAACTGATGTCATTACTACTAGCAAACTCGCAATGGCCATTGTAATTGAAAACTTGACACAAAGATCTGATTCTTGATTCATAGAAGAGTCATGTCAGCACATGCAGTCGTAGACTCAGCTTCTTAGTCAAAGACATAGCCTGAAAAACTTCATATCTTGCTAGTAACAGCCATGTCTTTAAGAATTGACTTGTTTTTTGGCAGGAAGTATGACTATGTGTTTCATTTTGTTGTCGTTTCCCTTAACTGCTCAGCAGCTTCACTTTGATGAAAGAGGTGGAGATCGGCCCGAAGGCGGACATGTGGGCACTCGGTGTGGTGACGTGGGATTGCTACGCGAAGACGACACGCTCGCTGTTCACTCCCGACCCGAAGGGCTTCGTCAAGCACACGCCGACCATCTCACAAGCGCTCGTTCGTTTCCAGACTGCATGGCGCGAGAGAGCACGCGACCTGCACTTGCTGGACGACGACATCGCTGCACACGTTTTCGGTTCATGCTTCACATTGGAGCAGGACAGGCGCAGCTCACTCGATTTGTTGAAGGATTTGCAGGGCCGTTTCACGAGGACAATTCAGTCGCTGGACGAAGAAGAGGAGCCGTAGCAAGTCCCCGGTGTACGTAATGCTATAACTTTCCAACGTGTCTTTCGCAAAGTATGATTTTATGTCAGACAAGAGATGACGAATGTTGTCGCCGGTGGACTCGCCCGTGCAAGTTTTGCATGACACACGTTGTTCGATGACCCGATGTTTCGAATCATTGAATCAGTTCATTGAATCTCGTAAGAGAATTAACTTAAGAAGATTGCAGAAAACCAGAATAATGTATTAGACTTTGTGGTTGGGTTCTTTTTGTTCAGTTCCCCGCTGTCACACGATTGACGACCGACTTGTGCATGTCAAGGACGGCCCTTCGGCAAGGATAAAAAGGGCCGCTCATTCTGCCATTTGGAATCTGTAGGTTCTACAGAACATGTACATGCAGAGGCGTGTCTGAAGTCCTAAGGATAATACACCGCTGTTCCCCCACACTCCTTGGCTAGATGCTTTCCATTTCCATGTTGCAGGCCCTGGGGCAGAGGCCACACCCTTCTCACTCTGGCAGCGACACACGGAGCACTTCAAGGACGGTTTCGGCCGCACAGTTCAGTGCAGTCTTGGATGGAATGTTCAGATGTCCTATGTTTTGAAATGCTGCTTACACTATGATGTTAGTTCGTTCTTGTTGAATGTGGTTTTAGTTTTCGGTTGGACTAGTCGCAGAGAGGCTCCCAATGGATTTCTTTTACTGTCGATTTGGAAAGCTTTGTTTTTCAATGTTTCTTGCTGCTGCTGGAAGAATGGGGTCAACCTTTCCGACCTGGTTTCATGATGGTCTCCAGAGAGCCAAGTCAGTCTTCTGGCTCCAGAACATCATCTGAACAGTGCAATGCAGGGGCAGCTATA